GTGTGTCCTGTGTCTAAGGTTTGGCAGCTTGGAGCTTCGGCAGGTGGTTGTCCCTTCGGAAAAGCATCTCCCTTTGGCAGGGAGGAAGGCACGTCTACCTTGGTGTTTTAGTCACGCTTGGTTAATTATGGTGTAAACAATATGGCAAATATTCAGAGTTTCATGATTTTTTTTGTTAATGTGTGCGTGTATTAGGCGGGTAATTGTTGCTCTCTTACAATATCTTGTTTTTCCCTTTGTTTGTTTTGTTTGTTTAGGGTAGCCTGATGGATGATTATCAGGAAATGGAAAGGTTTGGCATGGAGAAGGATTATGAGGACAGTCAATGGCTTGGCGGCGAGTTCTATTATCGCAAGCGCAAGGATAAGCGCATCCAGACCAAAGACGATGTACTCTATGGCATATTCTCTGTTGATTCCGACGATGATGAAGACAATGAGGGCTCCAGAAAACGCAGGAAAGACCAAAAGGTCGACCTCACCAAGCCCCGTCAATTTTGTCTCCACCGGCATCGTCTTGCCCAACCAGGAGATGGACAAAAATTTAAGGGAGTCTCACTAAAACACCCAAAATGGGGACTGAAATTATAAAAAAACCCAACACCCAAAACACTTTATAAACACACCCAAAAAATATACAATTGTTGATTTTGGAGTTGATTTTGGGTGTGTTTCTATGTTTAAATAGTGTTTGGGTTTTTTTTATAAATACATGTCTAGGATTGGGTTTATTTATAAATTTGTAAAAATTTAAAGCAGCAAAATGATGACCTTGGTGCTTGCGGCGTTGGCACTAGTGGCCTTGGCTTTGGTGCCGCTATGGGTTCAGGTTTGGGTTTTAATAATTTGAATTCCGGTTTGGGTTTGAATAATTCGAATTTAGATCCCACTGGGGGAGAGGAGGAGGATGAGGAAAACGACACAAATTTTCTGCCAACGGCATTTGGGAAGAAAATAAAGGAGGGAGCAGAGAGGAGACAGAAGGAGAGGGAAAAGCTCAAATTGCTCAAGCAGACTACTAGTCAATCTCGAAGTCTTAGAGATTCTGAGGAATCTCAGTTTGGACTATGAGGAGCAAGGGGAGGATACGAGGATGGGGACCTGGGGGCCTTCGAGAAACACACCAAGGGCATTGGGATGAAGATGCTTAAGAACATGGGCTACCAAGGAGGTGGACTTGGCAAGAACGAGCAAGGGATTCTCGCTCCTATTGAAGCTAAGTTGAGGCCAAAAAATACGGGTATGGGTTTTAATGATTACAAAGAGACTGAAATCAAGCGGTCTAGCTTGCAAGAATTGGAAGCTGAAAAGCCAAATAAGCCTTTGCCCACTGCCAGTGCCACCAACACCACCAAAAAGAGGCTTTCCTGGAAAAAGGCCGTGGCCAATAGGGCTAACAAGGATCAGTATGTCTCTGCCAAGGAGTTGTTAGCCAAGAAGCAGGAAGAGAGTACTGAGGTCTTTGTGCACAAGGTAGTTGATATGCGTAGACCCCAGGTTCGAGTCTTGACCAATTTGGAGAATTTGAATGCCGAAGAGAAAGCAAGGGAAGAGGATGTTCCCATGCCTGAGCTATAGCATAACTTGAGGTTGATTCTGGACTTAGCTGATCTCGATATCCAGAAGATTGATGGGGATATGAGGAATGAGAGGGACACAACGATCAGCTTGAACCAGGAGAAAGAGAGGCTGGCAACGAAGGTGGCCAGACATAAGCAACACTTGGATAGCTTGGAGGATATTATGAGTGTGTTAGACCGACTGGGAGAAGAGAATGTCATAGGAACATTGACACTGGAGTCATAGGCAAAGGGCTTTGGTGACCTGCAAAAGAATACGCTGACGACTATAAAATATGTAACTTGTCGTGCATTGCATGTTCTTTTGCTCTGCCTCTGTTTATCAGGATGTTTCAAGGTTGGGATCCTCTTAGGAACCTTACGCATAGATTGAATGTGGTATCCTCATGGAAGCATTTGCTTCATGGAGAGGGGGAGAGAGAACAGTACCTTGATATCTTTGATAATACAATGTCGCCTTATACCCAGTTGGTTTCCGAGGTTGTGGTACCCGTAGCGAGGATTGCTGGCGTCAATACATGGCAAGCCAAGGACCCTGAACCCATGCTTCGCTTTTTGGAGTATTAGGAGAAATTGATACCATCTTCCGTCCTTCATGCCATATTGGATATGGTAGTCTTTCCCAAATTGAAGGACGCAGTTGACTTGTGGGAACCTCACCGTGACATTGTTCCCATCCATGTGTGGGTGCATCCATGGCTACCACTCTTGGGACACTAGTTGGAGGAGTTGTATCGCACAATACACTTCAAGTTGAGTAATGTTCTCAGTGCATGGGACCCCAGTGATACCTCTGCCTATGCTATACTCTCGCCGTGGAAGAAGGTGTTTGATTCAGCCCGTTGGGAATAGCTCATGCATAGATTTATAGTACCCAAGTTGCAGCTTGTCCTACAAGACTTCCAAGTGAACCCTGCAAATCAGAGACTTGATCAATTTAATTGGGTGATGAGTTGGGCTTCTGCTATTCCAATTCATCTAATGGTAGATATGATGGGGAAGTTTTTCTTCACCAAGTGGCTACAGGTTTTGTATCACTGGTTATATTCGAACCCTAATTTTGAAGAGGTTTTGAATTGGTATAAAGGTTGGAAGGAACTCATTCCTGAGGAGCTTCATGCAAATGAAAGTATCCGGTATCAGCTTAATTGTGGTCTTGATATGATGAATTGGGCTGTTGAGGGTATGGAGGTGATCCAACCTGGTTTGAAGGAGAATATTAGCTACCTTAGGGTGCTTGAGCAAAGGCAATTTGAGGTACAACAAAAAGCAGCAGCAGCACAGGCAAACTTGGGTGGTCCTGCTCACATGGATGGCATTGGTAATGAGATGAGCTTGAAAGATGTTATCGAAGCCCATGCGCAGCAGCATGGTCTGCTATTTAGGCCTAAACCTGGGCGGATGCATAATGGTCACCAGATATATGGCTTTGGCAATGTAAGCATAATAGTTGACTCTCTAAATCAAAAGGTATATGCCCAAATAGAGGAAAGCTGGTCTCTTGTATCCCTTGAAAGGTTGCTTGACATGCACAATAGTTCTCTTACAAGAAGACGCTGAGTTTTAGAAAGGCATTTAAGAGTTGAAGGGATGTGTGGTGACCTCTGTGCTGAGAATGGAGCTGGTGGATTAGGTTGTATGTGCAGTAGGCGTTGGTCATGGATCGAGGACTTAAAAGATTAGGTTGGTCATTATTTTTCAGCCTGTCTTTGCCAGCCAGAATGTCTTTTGTAAGGATTGATACTGCAAACTCCAACTTTTTCATTCATTAGCTTAGTTTTGCATTTGAATTTACTCCAGTATCCAGATTGTATAAATACATCTTTCAATTATTTTGGGCTTCTTGTAAAAGTATTGCTCTTTGATTCCTAAATTTATTTTACCGTTCAAATTAGGATTTTGACATTTGCAGTGCTCTGTCTTGGCTGTTGATGAGAAAAAATGTAACTGGGTTTTGGATGAAGCTTGAGAAACATTTTATGAAGACTTCATATTGCTTTCCAAAAGCTAATTGATGAACTTGTAACGTTCAACATACTAAGTGGTTTGTACTTTCTTCTTTGTTTACTTGTATGGTGGGTGTCATCTGTGACAACTCGGAATCGCCTTTCTGAGCTTTAAGCAGATGTATATAGTTGAAGGGCTACTCAAATTTAAGGTTAAACCTGCGCATGAACTCTGTTGCACACTTTAGATGTTCCTAGAATTGTATGAATATTTCTTCATTTCAGATTCTAATCGTATTGGTCCAGAGATATAGGTGTTTGTTGGCTTGCAGTTATCTGATTATAGTTAGAAAAGGGTATAATGAAATTACTGGGTGATATCAAATGATTGCCTTTAGAAATAAGGGATCAAATGAAGAAAATTAAGGAGTCGTATGTTGATGTGTCTTTGTAGTGAAGATATGTGTTGTCTTTCATGTTTTTGTACACTTTTAATTTCTCGGACTCTTCACAATATCACATTCAATGCATTTTCTGATGTCTATTTATAGGCAGAATTTTTAATGTTGTATTCGTGAAATTTTTTCATATATATATAAGCGATATTGAAGAAGAGGGATTCAATTTTTCATGTAAAATTATTGCATACCATTCCTATAAGCGATAGTGAGTCAATTTGTTCTCCAAATTTTTTTTTTATTTTTTTTATTACAACGTAATTTGGGGGGGTGGGGTGGTGTTTGAGTTTTTATTCAAAGTAGCGATGACCAAATTTGCCAGCCCAATTAGAAAAAATAAAAAATAAAAGATAAAAAGAAACCATCTTATTTGGGCTCATCCCGGATTTATGCTTGCGTAACATGTCTTTTTTCTCAAACCATAGTATAGAAAAATTTAGCACAAGAAGAAATTTTTTTTTAAAAAAAAGGCAATATATGTTACATTCTAGGAAGCTTCCTCTAAAAATCCCCTTGCATAGCAAAATTCATATTTAGAACCATGACCTATCTCACTTGCTATCTACCAGCAAGAAAACCAAAGGGAAGAAAAATGTATCACATTTCTTTCTTTTTAATCTGCTGCTGCTTGTTTTTCCTTGTAATTCCTCATTCAAAATTGTCCACCATTGCTGCAACATCTGTTGATATAATCGACCAAACCTGCAAAAAATGCGCAGATGAATTCACCGTCATTAGCTACAAGGTTTGCGCAACCTCTCTCCAAGCTGTGCCTGTCAGCCATGTGACTAATCTTCAAGGACTAGCATTGATAGCAATGGAGCTAGCACTAGAAAATGCAACCAACACACTGTCCACCATAGAGAAGTTGTCGAGTAACAAAAGTTTCGATCCTTTTGCTCTGGTTTGCTTGAAGGACTGCTTGCAGCTGTATTCGGATGCGATCACAACACTGAGAGATGCTGTTGGAGCATTTCTGAGGGGGGATTACGACACGGCGAATATCTGGGTGAGTGCAGTTATGGAAGCACCAACTACATGTGAAGAAGGGTTTAAGGAGAAGGAAGGTGAAGTGTCTCCATTGAAAAATGAGAATTACAATCTTTTTCAATTATGTGATATTGCACTATGCATAAGCCACTTGCTTAAGTACTCAGGGTCTACATTCTTGACAAGATGCTCTGCAACTTAATTAGTCTTTGTGTTGATTATCAATGTCCCTTGTTGAATAAGAGCTGCTGCTCTGCAACTATTTGAATTTTCTTTGCATATATGATTGTTTGCAGCTGAAGAAAAATATGATCCAATTTCCCTGTCAATATAACAGGGACAAGGAGAATGTGCCAAAAGAACAGAATTTGTAACTCTGTGATATGACCCTAGAGATCCAATTAACAGCAACATTTCTCTGCAAAATCAACTGTAACTTTTCTTTTCCCTTCAAGATTTGTGAATCTAACCATTCATCATTCAGCAAACTAACATGGCCACATGACAAATTTTTTGACATGAAAAAGGGTTGTCTGAAAGGTCATGACCAGTAGGGCCTACGCTTCATCATATGAGTAATTTAATTTATATGGGGACAAATCGAATTTTCTACTAGAGATATATACCAGTAGGGCCTATGTGCTGCGAAGCTTCAATGCAGTTTCCTTTCAAATGTCAAGCTCCCATGTTGTAATTGTCCTGTAAAGTAGTAGATGGCTTGATCAGTGGCATGGCATCCATGCGACTTCCCAAGTACCCAAGTACAGGGCATCACAAGACAACACCATCCACTGTTCCAATTCCACATTGATACATACTTGTGCACAGAACGAAAAAAAAAGGGTGATAAATATTTCCCTTGATGGATCATTTTCACGCAAACCAAATACCTCCGAGAAGTGAATCTAGTTCCCCAACACCACAAGTTTGCGAAGTGATGAAATCATAATTTTTTTGTATAATTATGATGTTCTTCAGAAATACATCAAAATGCTAGTTTACTCTAAGATCATTTTATAAAATTTAAGGGCAGTCTTTCCAATCCCACCATGCCTGCAATGGGTGAGCAGAGCTTCAGTCTTTATCTCAAACCATTGCAGGCATGGTGGGATCGGAAAGACTGCAATTCCTAATCACAGTCAGTGAACTCCAAAGCAATTGCAGAAAGAGGGCATTATCTATCTGGACTAGGACAGATAGGAATCAAAATTCAACATAAATGAGTATTTAACTAAATAATGAAAGGATAATCTAGCTCAAATACTTGTGTGCCCTAAACAAGGAAACAATCCAGCAAGTAATATTATTTGAGCAAACCCTGCAATTCCTAAAATGACCAAGTACACAGAGACAGAGAGGCCCCTGACATCGACACTTAGTCTATAGCTTTGGCAGCACCCACAGTCATGGGCCACAAGTAAGCACATCTCTTTACCAATTGGTCCGGTAACAAAAAGCTACTCCAGTAACCAGAGCAGAGATCATTAATTCAGTAATGACAAGTGATGAAATGAAATCCAAGAATCGTGAAGACAAAGAGAACAATTCTTGTGCAAACAAAGATAAGATAAACTATGATGATCAGAGAAACATATAACCTTTGGCCAACAAAACATCAGTAAAATAACATTACTTGGATAAGCTGAAAAGGGGCCTGGAATTGTTAAGCCAATTTCGGGCATAGCACAATCAGAAAACAGATTTCAAAAACAGTAATGATAGCGTTATTTTTCATGATTAAGCTGTACATGGAGATACAATGACACCAACATTATCCGAGCAACAACTTACAGCTTTGGACTAACAACAGCCCCTCTAACTCACTCACAAAAATTATATAAATGCTACCTTTCTACATATTCACCCCCAAAAGATTGCTGAACATACAATCCTGCAACGTGCTAAGTGTTTTTATACAAATTCAGATGTCACCTAACAAACCAGAAATTGAACCCAAAAAAAAAAAAACCTCAGCCAGAGGTCTCTTAAGATAAGATAAAATGGAACAAAGCACAGAAATCTCAAAACCTTTTCTTTATTTAGGTATTCACGAAACAATAGATGAGCCCCCAATGCAGAACATCCTTTGCTGTGGACGCCAGTCAGATTAAATGTCTATAAAAAGTATGAAACTCCTAATAACTGCATGTGGCTCGTCTGTGCTTTCACTTACCAAGGCGCTGCCTGTGACTCAGCATGTGAGAGGGGATGTATAAACAAGATTGCGTGCGCTGTTACATGAAATCAAAAGGTCATTTAAAAAATATCTCATAACTTCCTGGACAAAATAACATGATTTTGCCAGATTTTGGAACTACCCTAAACTAGTTTGCTCCTCAACAACACCAACGATATGCATATACAACTATAAAACATATTTGCAATTTTTTATAGGCAATACAACTTTAAAAGACAATTTCATTTGGTTCTCAAAAGGATTATAAACGAAAACACTAACAAAAGAAAATGGGAATCTAGATTTTTACAATTAATGGTGATTTGTAATTATATTTTAAAAAAAATTCAAGCAGGGTACTTCCAGTTTCAAAAGGTGTTCGTAGCTGTACTTTATCTCTTTCGTTTCTTAACAACAAGGTGAGGATTGTAGGTCCTTTTTTTTTTTTTGGGTCGGTGGATTGTTGGTCCATTATGCAAATAACTACAACTCCAACATTGGAAAATACTGGAAGATATGAAACATGCTTGTCCAACAGATTATTGAAAATTGAAACTTTTTTGATAATTAAAAAAAATTTGCTGTCCACAAAAGAAAAATAGATCAGAAAGAATATAACTAACCAAATATCATTGCCTTGTTGACAACATACAGCTAACATTTCTATAACTTGCCCGCATGTGTGCCAGTAAAAAGCCATCATAATGACGTGCCAAATGAATAACTTCAGCAAAATACTGTGCCAGTAAAATTTTTACATTTGTGATACACTAAACCGTTCACCATTTTCCTCTTCTTCTTTAGTCCTGTGTTCAAGTTTATCCTGGTTCGACCCCAGCAGCAATAGTTGATCTCTTTCAGTATTAATGCTACCACTATTGACCAAGGAAAGTTGATCCATCATGACAGCATTCCTTTTGTAGTTCCAAACAAGCATTGAAATGTAATCCTGAGGTGAAACAAGACCTTGATCCATGATGCCACTACGCTGCTCCTCTATAGTTTTTGGATCATCAAGCCTTATATATTCGAGCAATGCCTTCTCATGATCAGGTCTCCAGTTATTTGGGAAAGGGCTGTAATCAGTCTCAGGTACAAGAGACATCCTGGTATACTGAAGCCCATCAATTGACTCAACAAGACCCATCCTCAACAAATTATGGTACTCAGGTGACTGCCCCTTCTTCTCCTTCAAAGGACGACTCAAATTCCTAGAACCTATCTTGTACACCTTTGCACGCGAACGGAGCTTGTATTTTGCTGCATAGAGCTTTGCAAGTGAACCCCTTAATATGTAAGAGCAAAAGTTCACAATCTTTTTCCGATTATCTGCATACTTATACCACTCAACCATTGTGGACAGAAACTTGTTCATTTGTGCATTAGTATGAGCTTGGGTGGCATGAAACATTCTGAAACAAGGCTGTGGGTCTGGATCCCTATCCCCCTTCAGAAAGCTCAACTTCCTAAATTGCTTGATGCACTGTTTCAAGCTTGCTGTAACTGACAAAAGAGTGCCAACACCCTTCTCACTAATGATTTTCCCACCAGTAGCAGTGTAACGAAGCGTTGGGTACACAACTCTGCGACACAACACATGATCTAGAAACATTATACCCTTTGTTATGTGTTCTATAGGGAGGCTCTCATTATCAAGCTTGAGCATGTACTTCTGATCACAAAACTCAATCAACTGTTTTCTCAATGTAGCGGCATCTGCTCGAGGTCCTCGGACACCAATCAAAATATGACCACCATATCGTATGTAATCCATCTTTCTGGTCTTATCTGGGCCGCTTGTTGGCACAAATTCAGGCCAAGACGTATTTCCCTGTTCTGCTTCACCTTCCGGGCTATTCCATATGACATCACTCTTTGACGGATGATAAAATTCCTTGATCTTCCCCTCCATCCAGCGGTCCAACTCATCTAGACAAACATTAGCCAAAAGGGGACTAAGTATCCCACAATGACCCCAAGAAGGAAGCTTCTCTGCCTCCTCAGGTGCAAACCCAAAAAAGGTCTCCAACCAATATGGGTCTGGCTTGGGTTCATCCTCTGCCAACACCCTCTTCTTCTGATATTTCCTCTTCTTTTTCTTCTTCTCCACCCCATCATCCTTAGTCGTGATCACCGGTGTAACCAAGGCCGCCTTCAACAAATCAATCACCTTCTTATCCCTCACATCCCTGATCAAAGCATTTATCACCAACCCCACCTTCGTCCCATCCAAGATGGTACTCAAATCGCCCTTTATATACCACAAGTACCCTGCAAAACTCCTCCTAATCACCCTCAACGCAGTATGTGCGGTTCTTCCAGGCCTAAACGCAAATGACTTTTGCGAGAACCGAGACTCATATATCGGCTCCAAAATCATAAGCAGCACTTCCTGAACTAACCTATCTTGAAATGGGGTTGGCTGTGTGGTCGTCAAGATGGCCTTAATTTTCCTCTTTGACAACGACTGGTAATCAGTCTTATCCTTGGGTGATTTTATATAGAATTCTAGTCTAGCCCCCCACCTAAACCTACTGTCAAGAACAGCATTACGAAGTGCTAACAAGTCCTCAAGAGCTGCCCTCTGTATTGCACTGCGGGGCATATACGCACCCATCTCATCAGCACAAACCTTCTGGTACGCCAATACCCACAACTCCAACCGCCGAAGATAAGAGGACAAATTGGTCGCAATCCTATCAGGTTCTCGAAAATTCTCAATCCACATTTGGGATATAACCGAAACCCCATCTTCTTTAATCAAGTTGGAGGGGTCTTCAGGATCAGGTGGCCGCCGGCTCACCGGAGAGTATGAAAGAAAGCGAAAAAAGGCGAACCCACCGGCCCTAGGATTTGAGGGGTTGAAATGGGAGCAGTGGAAGAAGGTGGTGGTGGTGTTGAGGATAGAATTGGAATTTTTGAGAAGTTTGTGGGTGAAAATGGAAAGGCGGCGATGCATTTTGGGATTGGGAGCTCAAAGGGTTTAGGTCATTTTCTGGGTTTGATTTTCATCAACTAACTACAGAGCAATAGCAGTGATTGAATAAAACATACTGATAGAGAGAGAGAGAAATTTGAGAGCTCACTTGAATAGTTTATTCTGAACTTCAACAGCTTAACGTCGTCGTTTCGGGGCAAGGAGCAGTGCAACAGAGGTTGAAGACAACTAGGAGCCAAAACCTTGGCTTAAACCCTCCGTCTATGTGCAGTGCAGACCTGCAGTTTCTTCTTTTATTTCGACTGT